ATTATTTTATATATTGGATTGGATTTGATTTGTTTAATTTTTACTGTTTGTTTATCAAACAATTTCATAAATGGCTAATACAACGCATGCCTTAGAACATTATGCATATACACACAAATATATATATAAATATAAATATATATAAGTTGATTTCCACTCACTTTAAATATACAATTATAATAGTGCAACTCAGCGCAAATTGAAATAATACCTAAAAATATACAAATTGAATTTGGGACCAAATTGAAACTAGCTTGGAATGCTTTTACAAATACGAATAACTGTTCTTTTCCACACTTTCCATACTGCCATTTTCGCGTTTTTAACAATAAACAAAAACTAAACGTCTGAAAAAATAGACTAAAGATAACAATAGAAAACTAATAGATTTATAAACGGTTTAAAATATTGCAAATTGTTTAAGAGGCTCAAATACGCTCTCATCTAAGCATAATTGTAACATAGTTTATAGCTTTATGGCGTCTACAAAGATTTTAATAATATATATATATAATTTCCGATAGTGTACAATAAATTTCAGTATTTAACAGATTCCATTTGACGTGTGTTTCGTTTTTAGCTTTAGCTTTAGGTTTAGTGATTGGCGTAGGACACAACTACAGGTTCTTGCTTACACTTAATATGTAGGATTTACACATATGTATGTAGGTATATTTCACATAGGCTACTCTGTTTTTTTTTACGTTTCGTTTTTATATTTGCTTTCTGTTTCACTTTAGCTAATTATGGAAATTCTTGCATACAAGTTATATAAATTGTTGTATACATATAAATAGTCAAACTCATTTTACGTTTTATAGTAATAATATAAATATATATGTATATGTATATATGTATATAGCAATTTGTGTATGTGTGTATGTATGCTTGCTCAACATTATAATAGAATTCTTAGCGTTTTCATTTCGTTTGTAGCATAGTGTAAACATTTATAATTTCTTACTTTTGTGTTGAATTTGAATTTTCTTTAATCTTTTTATAATATCTGCAAATATATATTCATATATTATGTATTCTCTGTGTGTGTGTGTGTGTGTGTGTGTGTGTGTATTTGTAATGTTGTCTATGAGGTTATAGCGCTTAATGTGTGCATGTGTGTGCTTGTGTGTCTCCTTATGTGTTCGTGTGTGTGTGTTGAGGTGGCGCCTTATAACGCCCCAAATGGATCGAGTGGTACATTTTTATTGCCTCCATTCTGCGTCGCCTGCGTGGGTTGCATGATCCCTGTCGCTGCTGGCACCGTCGCATTACTGTGCGCCACGCCCATCATCGTCGGCTGCCCCCCAGTCAAAGGGGCTGCTTGTGGCAGCATACTCGGCTGCTGCCCCATCACCGGCATGCCCTACAATCATTAAAATAACTCATTAGAACAGGCTCGAATCAATATCAGTATTTATCGTTTGATCAAACTTCCAAATCATGCAAGGAATTGGAGGATTACTTGAACGACTAAGGATTAGACATAAGTTGCGGAAGTTATTGGGTAGAAAGAGTTGTTGGTTAACAAGTATTTGGCTATTTGAGATTGGCCGCCGTGAGCTACATACATATATAGTATATATATTTAGAAATATATATATACATATGTGATTTTTCCAAACTTGGGGTTAGTTAGTGAACTCTACATAGGACATACAACGAAAATAAAAACTCAGTTCAGAAAACATCTCTCTACAAAAACAAATTATAATAATAATATTGTCAAAATTCAAAATTTTAAAACCCCATCAAACTTATAGGAATATGAATTTTCAAACAGAAAAATCAAAATTTTCTCGAGTGTCAAGAGAGACCTATTATATATATAGAGAGAGAGAGTGAGAGTGAGAGAGTGAGAGAGACGGGGTTGCGATAGTGGATACCATAACCATAGAAATAGAGCACGGGGCAACAGTTCGGAAGGCTCTGTGCGTAGGGCAATAGTCAGAGTAGGTAGATTTGATAGTGAGAGTGAAGTCTTAACTTAAGATAGGCAAAAATCAGAATGAATAACTAAAAAACTAAACAAAAATAAAAATAAAGTAGATAAGTTGAAACATAATCAAAAGTAAAAGTCGTAAATAGGCACAATATATATATTTATAATTCGTTTAATGAAAGTAAACTAAATGCAACTGAAAAATATAGTAAGTATAAACATTTATTTTATATTTGATTATGTTTTATTCAAAATTGTTTCTGTATGGTTTTTTGATTGTATTATTGTATAATTGTTGTTTACGTTTCGGTTCGTTTGCATCATTCTTACCTGCATATAATTTGGCATAACAGGATAACTAGCATGTATATACGGATGATTGATTGTGATTGGCGCAGGACTTACGGTCATGCCATGTGCCTATGTATGCATACATATAAATATATATAATATATGCATATATACATCAATATTCACACATATTCATATATAGATATACACATGTATATATGTGTGTGTTTATATTTCAATACATATACAACACAAGCATACAGTCAGCATTAACACAGGAGCATCGTGAATTACATATTTATTTTAGGTGTTGAAATTTTGATATATTATTTATTTGTTTTTTTTTTATTATTTATCATAAATTATTATTATTATTTGGATATATTTCGATATTGCGGTATGCGTTGGATAGTTGAAATATATAAAGCAACATAAAATAAAGAAAAGAAAGTGATAGTTTATATATATGTATGTGTATATATATATATAAGTTAACATTAAGACAGAAATAAATAAAAATAAAAATCAAATCAAAATGGAATAAATACAGTTAGGTGTGTGTATGTACGAGTACAAGTGAATAATTGGCCTGCTTATGTAGGTTAGCTATTTCAAGTAGCTGCTCGATACCTACACTGACGAGGTGTGCCACAATAGTTTGCCCTAGTGCTAGGTGTAGTTGTTGCTGTTGTTGTAGTTGTCGTTGTGTGATGCAGTGTTTTACATGAGAGGACCTTAACCAATATATCACATAGTATAATCGAAATGAATCAAATAAACGTTCAACTTGCAACAACTTGGTTTGTGCTTTTATAGCTCTATGCCAATTCAAGAGATATATGTATGTAAAAAATATATATTATATAGTAAAAATGGCCACAACATCTAGATTATATTTTTGGGTTAAATCAAGTCACAGATCAAGACATTATAAATAAAAAATAAACCAAGTAGCTGTTGTTGTTAGGCAAAGTGCGGTTCTTGAAATGAAAAAATATTTGCAAAAGAAGAAAAATGTACAAAACTGAAAAATAGAAGAAACAAAATCATAATCATAAGACAAATTGTATGTTACATGGATAGTGAGCCTAGAGTGTTGTGTGACACAATCTTTAGGATACCATCATCTTTATTGTTCCCTCAAACATTCTTGGTCTTTTGCTCTAAGAGCACAAAAGGTCTATCTATAAAGTTATATATGTATATATATGTATGTATATGAGATATATATATATATGTACATATAACAGTTATAGCTCTGATATTATCTCATGTCTTTGTTGTTGTATTTAATTGAGTTTCGATTGAGTTGAGTTTTGATT